TCTCTACATTTCTACAGACACAGCTTCAGTTCTGACCTTCGTCATTTATCATCTGAACAAGTACCATCCATTCTAAAGGATTTCTCCACCTTCAGTCCTATTTTTGTTGATTCAGTCAACAGGCACTTGATGATCATTGCCTGGGTGCCAGACACAGGTGCAAGGTGCTAGGGTCACATTAGTGAACAATTTCCTTCTTGCAGCTTATATTCTTGTGGTGGATGTAAATGAAAACATAAGAAGATGAACAAATAAAATATTAGCTGCCGTGAAGGAAATGAGAGTATTCAAATAGAATGACCTGTATTAGGGAGGACCTAGGAAAGTTCTCCTAGACGGTGACATTTAAGCTGAAACCTAATGAAAAAGATCTAGTTACATAGAGAGTGGGGGAGAAAAGTGTTTCAAACAGAGGGAGCCTGCAGTGCTGTTCATTCAAAATGTGTTGTGCCTGCAACAACAAAGACTAAGAAAAGCACTTGGCCTTTTTAAGAAATCAAAGATGACCACCATGGCTGGCTAGAATGCAGTGAGATGAGATGCAAGTGGAACAAAGTGAAGTAAGAGATCTATGTTTTGGCCAAGCACGCAAAGCAGCAGAGCCCAGTCTTCCATGAAGCAGTGTGATAGATATTGCTGCATTCAAAATCAGATCACAACATGGCCCTTCTTAGGTTTCTTGTCCCCTCTACTGATGCAACAATGTAAACATTTCTTGTGATCCTGTTCAGGGATCTTCCTGGTCTGGATGATGCTTGTGTTTCTAGCCTTCTATCCTAAAACAACCCACAATCATATATACAATCTATGGACACCAGCTCCAGCTCTCTCTCTCTCTCTCTCCCTGTTTTTTTTTTGAGTTGGAGTTCTGTTCTGTCACTCAGGCTGGAGTGCAGTGGCATCATCTCAGCGACCTCTACCTTCCAGGCTCAAGCAATTCTCCCACCTCACCCTCCCAAGTAGCTGGGATTACAGGCTCGTGCCACCACACCCAGCTAATTTTTGTATTTTTTGTAGAGATGGGGTTTGGCCACTTTAGTCAGGCTGGTCTTGAACTCCTGGGTTCAAGCAATCCACCTGCTTCAGCCTTCCAAAGTCAGGGATTACATGTGTCTTTTTCACATGTTTTGTTTCATGCTCTTTCCTGAATTGGGAAAGCTCCATCTCCATGTGATGACCATTATTCCATCCCCTCAGGCTTAACCTTAACTTCTATAGGAAGTCAATCTATTGCTCTGTTATTTCACAGCCAATTCTACTGTAATGTTGGGCTGCTTTACATCACTCCCACCAACTTGGGCATGCTTGAGGATGTTAGAGTCTGACCTTATGTGCTGTTGTAGTCATGACACCTGATACGGAGCTGACACTCAATACAGGTTTATGGAAGAAAAGAAGGCAGGCAAGCAGGCAGTTTTGTCCAAATGCACTGGAATAGAATACATGGTATTCGGATCCTATCTAGTTTAAGTCTGTATTTTTAAAAAAAAAATTGAATTAAATTCAACAAACACTTGAAGATATAAGTTTTATGTGTCACACATTAGCCCAGTTAGTTGCAAACAATGCTTAATCATCTCAGACATTCCTGGCAAAGAAATGCATAAAGGAATGAACACTGGCTCTGCTCCTTGTTACCTGTCAGACATTAAGGTATAGAGCACCCAAACTCCACTTCTTGAATGGAGAGTATAGGCTGTGCTAGGAAGACCACAGACAAGCGCTCATCTTAAAAAAGAAGAAAAGCAGATTGCTCTTAAAGAACTGAATAAGTAAAAGCTAGATTATCTATTTGTGGGAGATAACTGCAGACTGAAATACACAAAACTGTTATCAAGGTAACAAAGCTGTAATCTCAGAAAGACTGAAATGTCACTGTCCTTTAGAAAACTGGAATGCCCGAAGCACTCCAGAGTGCCTGTATTCCTATCAACTAAATAGTACAGTCTTCCAAGAACCATATACTGTATTGTCTCTAAATCTGTTTATGCCTGTTTCTTTGCATTCATACCTTCATCTATCTCTTTGTTCAACCATTCAAAAAATATTTACTGTGTGCTTGTTATGCATATGCTGAAACAGAGTGATGGAAATGACATTTTAAGGGGAAAATGACAGGTAGAGATAAATGATGTGGAGAAAACCATCAACAAATGTGATAATTTTTTTCTCATAAGAAAGGAATACTCTTGTCTAAGTAAACATGCTGGCTTTCTGGTTTATACATCTGCTTCTTGTGAGTTTGGAAGTATGAGTTAATGCCTCTGATCTTTGTACATAGCTAAAGATGAATATACAATGATAGGGCTGGAGAACAGTCTCTGAATTGTGGTCATTCTACCAGGGCTGATCTGCTGTGAGACCTTGCCTGGCTGCCAGCTGGCCTCCCCCAATCACATCTAACCATAACCCCTCTTAAAGGGGCTTTTAGGCCAATATCAGCACAGGAAGTCCTTTCACCAGGGTGACAACACAAGGCCAAGTACATTCCACACACAAATTCAGAATGAAATATAACTGATACAGCCTGGGCTCCTAATGACCTTCAGATGCCAGTGTCAGTCAATGGCTCCAAAGGAAAACTAACCTCCGGTTATGGTGCCATATTCATCTGGAAGGCATTACTAAACCAAGAAATGGAATGGAGATAATTTTTTAGAACTTAGGAGCTAACTTTGTGGTGGATCACAGAGGTGCTTGAGGAAAGAAAAAGAACAATAAAGTTCCCACAAGGTCTAGAAGTCTGTGATGCTACAATGAACATTTCCGATGCTGGAATGAAAGTCCATTTATGCTTCATGCAAGCATGTTCTTGCCTAGAGTTTAACATTGGGAAAGGTCTGGGTCTATGAATATCTTATTGAACTCACAATAAACATTCAATCTAATAAGGCTAGAATGTCATGGGAAAGTTTACAGTCCTGAGCTGGTAACTGGACTATCACTTGGCTGGAATGACTTCTATACATGTGGAAATCTGACACTGCAGCAGGATATGCTTAAAACAAATAGAATATAGTCCTAGGTTATGTGGACATCGTGAAAACTCACATCCGTGGCATTACACATCATGGTGATGAAATCAAGCACACTTGAGCTTCACCAGGCTCATGGAGAGCACTGTTAAGACAAGACCCTTTCATCATACCTGAAGAATCCCTAAATTCAGTGACTGCCTCTAAAAAATCAGTCCTTTACCAAAAGACTATAAAGTCTACCGAAGAGATTTATTTTTGTTTTTCCTTTCTTTTCCTCTGCTCTCACATCATATTTTCTGGCGTAAATTTATCAGAAACTCAATTCTTCTGGAAGATTTAACTTTAGATTCTTCTAAAGTCCCTGAAAAATCCCATTCAAATCTCAATGACAGGTCTTTTTAGCCACCCTTTGGCAAAGTCAATTTATCTGAGCTTTAATATTCACACTTACGTATTCAGCTCTGTTACTCAGCTTAACTATTAAATAGCTTATTTGAATGCTGTGTGACTATCATTTAATTTAAGATGTTTTAGTTTTTGTGGAATTTTTAATTTTCACAATGTAGCAACATTTTAAGTCTCTAACAAATCTTCCTTGAATGGAGGAGTAGCAGGTGATGTGAAAGTAACTTAAGTGTCTCGTAGGTCAGGACCCACGGGTATTCTGCTGAGTAGCAAAGTCAGACAACTCAACAACATGAACTGAAACCTAAAGGGCAGTGTGGTTTCAAATGTTTTCACTGTGAAACCCATAATAAATTCTATTGAAAACAGCTAAGAGATCCCATTAGCACTCAGAAAATGTAAGTGAAATGTCAATATAAAGATTTACATTTAATTAGTTACTGAGAAAGGGCAATATTTTTTTCATGTAAGACATAGATTTCAAAAAAGTATGATGTCTTCTGGTCTACTTTTCTAGATACTAATAAAAATACATACATACAACATCTCTTCTCTTTAAATGTCATTTATCTAAAATTGCGCCAAAGATAACCAAATAGAAATAACATTTTGAAAACAAAAGGATTAAGACACAATGACGAAACTAAATAAAGGAAAGTGTTTCTCCCTAGAAGTATTCCAGCTAATAAAGAAGAAATGATGGAATTAGTACATCATTATTTTGAAAACTTCGAATGAATAATGAATCTAGGCAAAGATCATCAGTGTTCACTAACATCACAGATAACAAAATATTATCTACTTCTTGATAGGAAACAATAGTATCTATGATGTATTCTTCCACTCAAATTAAGATAGTTTATAGAAAATAGGAGACAGAGGAACATGATAAAAACATGGCAACAGGATCAACAAAATCTAAAATGTGGGAAAGTCTACAAGACAAGTAACCTGGTTTCTTCAACAAATACATTACAAAAGAGGAAAAATGGAGAGTAGAAACTTCTAGATTAAAAGAAACTTGAGGGGCACATCAAAGTCAATGCATGGAATTTGTTTGGATCCTCATTTAAACTAACTGTAAATGAATGCATGAATTAATGAGTATACAAACAAAAGGGAAATTAGAATTACCTATGTGATGATACCGAGAAACTACAATTAATGTTTTTAAAGGAAAAATAATGTCACTGGAGTATTGTTTGAAAAAGTATCCTTGGGCTGGGCATGGTGGCTTATGCCTGTAATCTCAGCACTTTGGGAGGTTGAGGTGGGCACACTGCTTGAGTCCAGGAGTTCAAGACCAGCCTGGGCAACATGGCAAAACCCCATCTGTAAAATACAAGTAAATAAATGTAGAATCCTAATTTTTTAGCAATAGTACTAACATTTTTAACAGATGACTTATAAAGCATCTGAAATTTGCTTCATAATAACCTACTTGGTGAGAGGAGGGTGTTTTCAGATGAAACAAGACTGAGTTGATGGTTCTGTAGCTGAGTATTGGGTATACGAGATTCATTATGGCATTTTAATTTTGTATGTGTTTGCCATTCTTCACAATCAAGTGTTTTTTTTTTAAAAATGGAAAACATAAAAGTGACAGAAAAGACTTACCATGCTGGATATCCTTCATTTCTAAATGTAAACTAGATATTAATATTCCCACAGTTTGAGATCGTTTTCCATCCAATAGTTTGATGATCTAAAATTAGAAGAAGAAAAAAAGAATACAAGCTCAAATGACCGCATAGTCTTTCAGAAGGCACACCAAAAACATTAAGATTTTTTAGATACACTGATTGATGAAATAAATTGATGCTGCATGCACTCTTCTTTAAATAATACTTAACTGGGAAGTAACTTATCCACAATTATAGACATCTTACACAATGAAAGACAGTTTACAAAATAAACACACAGATTCCATCGGCCTAGTACAAACACTAAATCTTTATATGTTACTCTGATCGTTTAACTCAAGAACAAAGTTATACAATGTTGTATTCATCTTTTTAATTTATCATTGGAATGTTTTCTTGTTGTTACTGATGAAGTCACTTCATGGCTTCCAATCATTTTAGTAATGCCATCTGCTGAGTGATTTAGGGGAAAAAGCATAACCATCTGAGTCAGCCATGACCAGCGATATGGCCTTGGTAAAGTGACAATCCGTATGTATTGATTTCCTCATCATGAAGAGCTGACTGTATTTAGTCCATGCTTTTATTTTGAGACAAGGTCTGGCTCTGTCACCTAGGCTGGAGTGCAGTTTGTGTGATCAGAGTTCACCTTAGCCTTGACCTCCTGGGTTTAAGTTATCCTCCTGCCTCAGCCTTCAGAGCAGCTAGGATCACAGGCATGCACCACCATAGCCCAGCTAATTTTTAAACGTTTTTATATAGACAGGGTCTTGCACTTTGTTACCTAGGCTGATCTGATCCCAAACTCCTAAAATCAAGTGACTCTTCCATTTCAGCCTCCCAAAGTGCCAGGGTTACAGGCATTAGTCATTGCAACCAGCCTATACATTTATTTTAGAAATTAAATAACTATACGCAAAGCACCTAATATAGTTCTTGACATGTATTTATTTAAATAAAAGTTTGTCTGTTTCAGAGAGATTACTTGTGTTATTGTTAAATATGAACAATACTTTGCACACAAAGCTCTAATTGTAAATTAATTAATGAATTAATTTTTGAGATAGTATCCAGCTCTGTCACACAGGATAGAGTATAGTGGCGCAATCATAGCTTACTGTAATCTTGAACTCCTGGGTTCAGTGATCCTTGTGCCTCAGCCTCATGCATCTTAGCAAGGACAATAGATGCATGCCACTATACCCAGTTAATTTTTATTTTTTTGATGATTTGTAGAGATGGGATCTCGCTGTATTGCCAATGCTGCTCTCAAACTCCTGGGCCCAAGCCATCCTCCCAGCTTCAAGTATTGGGATGACAGGTGTGAGCCACCACACTTGGTCTTAAAATTATTTTTTATAATAATATATACATTTACAATCTTTGTAGAAGCTCCACATACCTCAATGCCAGTTATTTCAACCTTTATGAATATTCCATGGAGAAGTCCACATGGTTTTGTGTTTCTCTACAACTAGGAAACCAAATCAGCTCCCTAATAACACATCACACAGCTGCCACTAAGGGAAAAAACTACCTTTTCTCTCATGCGACAGGGCTACAAAAATCAGAGAAACATCCATAAGACATCACCAAATCTTAAAATTGTTTTAAATGTGCTTTGCTGGGTAAAATCCAAACTAGACTGAACAGCTGTGTTCTCCTTCCCACCTAAATACCTACAGACTTGTCAAACTGAAGACAAGACTAAACAGTAACAAATGTCTACATTTGTATTATTACTTACTGTAACAGCTAAGTTGCTTGCTGGTTGAAAAATAAGGGATAACAATAGTTTGTTCCAAAAAAGATTACATAACTGCCTAATTGTCTAACTACCTATTGATCAATCAATCTTGAATCAATTATTGCCTGACATTTTTTTCCCCTTCCCTGTACAGAATGGCTACTTTCATATAATGATTAGAAATAAAATACAGTAAATACTAAGCATTAATCAAGATGTAAGGAAAAAAGTCTCATTTTTCAGTCAGTATGTTTAAGCCTTTCAATATCTACCTTAGAGAGAAAGATTCTTGGGGCATACAGAATTTTAGGAGTTTTAAAGAGAAACAAAAAAGGTACTCAGTATTTTTGTTTATGTGAAAGCAAAAGGAAGAAAAGGCAATTAAGTATAATAAAATATCTTCCTTAAAAATGCAATTTCTGGCTTTTTCTTAGAGAACCGAAACTTAAATGATTTTTTTTGTCCAGTAAAAAAAAATTAAGTCAATTTGGTTGCAGGGCTGAATAGTTATTTAAACTATTCAAAAAATATTTACTGTGCATGTTATATGCCTGGCATTGCTTTGTATTCTGGGGATGCAGAAGTGACTGAGACAGATCAAGTTGTAAGAAGTTTGCTGTAAAGAGTCAAAAAGGCAAATAAAAGCATCACCTAAACTAATGGAATATTACTTGACCACAGAAAAGAAGGAAATCTTGTCATTTGCTACAACATGAATTGGCCTTAGGACATTACGCTAAGTGAAAATAATCCAGTCACAAAAGAATAAATGCTGTGTGATTCCTCTTATATAAGGTATCCATGATGGTCAAACTCACAGGAACAGAAAGTAGAATGGTGGTTACCAGGGGCTGGAACAACAGTGAACTGGAAATTTGCTCTTCTGTGGGTATAAAATTTTAGTTATGCAAGGTAAAAAAGTTCTAGAAATCTGCTGTGCAACATTGTGCTTATAGTTAACAATAATGTACTATACATTTAAAATTTTGTTAATAGGGTACCTTTCATGTTGTGCATTTTTCACAAAAATAAAGAGAAATTAGTGTTAAGTCTTCAAATCCATGGGAGAAAAAAGAGGAAGAGACTAAGAGGATTTAGGACATACCATTCTGTGTCCATCACATTCCTACCATTTTAGTTGGTTTTGAGAAACCTGGTGGCATTTCAGAACAGTAGCTACATGGAAACACAGAAGGATATTTTTGAAAATCTAGTCAAAAGTAGACAGAGAATTTGGTACAGATAGGGAAGAGAATACAAATGCTCCAGCTTCACCACTGCCTAAATTTCCAAACAAACAAACAAACAAACAAAACACTCTTAAGGCATTAGTCCCATTAAAGGCAACACTCACCAAATACCCAGTTGTAGCTTTTTTTTGCCTTTTTCTATATTGATAACTTCTTTTGTGTTTTGTTTCTTATAGTGAGATACTTTGATTCTTTTCTCTTTTTTGTTGTTATATCCTCTATAGGCATTTTCTTTGTTACTATGAGACTTATATAAAACATTTTATATGTATAATCTATGCTAATTTCAATCACATATACAAATTCTACTCTTGCTTCTCCACTCCCAAATTTTATGTAATTGATACAACAAATTACACTTTTTATGTTGTGTATCCATTACCATGTTTTTATAATTATATTTATTTTTAATACCTGCAGGTATAAATTCTATACCAGAGTTAAAAGTGATTCATGCACATCATTAGAGTACATTGTATTTGTCTGTACATTTACCTTTATCTGCAAGCTTTGTGCTTTCATATCCTTTTGTGTTGCTATGTCGTGCCCTTTCATTTCAACTTTAAAGGACTCCCTTTATCATTTCTTATAAACAAGTTTAGTGGTTGTGAACACCCTACACTTTATCTAGGAAAGTCTATTTCTCTTTTGTTTGTGAAAGACAGGTTTTCTTTTTGTCTTTTTTGTTTTTGTTTTTGAGACAGAGTTTTACTCTGTCACCCAGGCTGGAGTGCAATGGCATGATCGCCACTCACTGTAACCTCTGCCTCCCAGGTTCAAGCGATTCTCCTGCCTCAGCCTTCTAAGTAGCTGGGATTATAGGCATGTGTCACCATGTCTGGCTAATATTTGTATTTTTAGTAGAGATGGGGTTTTGTCATGCTGGCCAGGCTGGTCTTGAACTCCTGACCTTGTGATCTGCCCACCTTGGCCTCCCAAAGTGCTGGGATTACAGGCATGAGCCACTGTGCCCAGCCAAAAGACGGTTTTTCTAGATATGGTATTCTTACTTGGTAATTTCCTTTCAGCGCTTTGAATATATTACCCTAGATCCTTCTGGCCTGAAAGGTCATTCTGAGAAATCTTCTGATAGTCTTGTTGAAATGCCCTTGTATGAGTTGCTTTTCTCCTGCTGCTTTCAAAGTTCTCTTCTTCTCTTTAACTTTTGACAATTTGATTCTAATGTGCTCAGTGTGGTCTTTTGAGTTCTCCTAATTTGGATCCACTGGGCTTCTTGAATTTGAATGTTTCTTTCTTTCCCCAGAATCTTGACCATTATTTCTTCCAATATACTTTCCTCCCTTTCTACTTCCTCCTTCTGTGATTCTCATAATGCATCTATTGATCTGCTTGATGGTGTTCCATTGGACCCTTAGACTTTCTTTACTCCTCATTTTTTTTTTTTTTTTGAGATAGAATCTTACTCTGTCACCCAGGCTGGAGTGCAGTGGCATGATCTCAGCTCACTGCAACCTCTGCCTCCCAGATTCAAGCGATTTGCCTGCTTTAGGCTCCTGAGTACCTAGGATTACAGGCACATGCCACCATGCCCAGCTAATTTTGGTTTCACCATGTTGGCCAGGCTGGTCTTGAACTCCCGAACTCGTGATCCTCCTGCTTCAGCCTCCCAAAGTGCTGGGATTACAGGCATGAGCCACTGCTCCTGGCCTCCTCTCCATTTTTGTCCTTTTGCTCCTCTAAATGGATCACTTCAAATGACCTCTGATTTTTCTCATTCCTCCTTCTGCTTCCTCAAATTTGCTATTGAACACCGCTAGGTGGGCTTTTAAATTCAGTTACTGTATTCTTTAGCTCCAATATTGGTTTGATTCTTTATACTATTTTCTGTCCCTTTGTTGATACTCTCATTTTGTTCATGTATCTTTTGTCTGAGCTCACCGAGCATCTTTATGACATTTATTTTGAATTATTTCTCAAGTAATTCATATACATCTGTGTCTTTAGGATTGGTTTGATTTCGTTTGTTCCATTCATTGGTCCATGCTCCCATTTCTTTCGTGTGTTTTGTTACTTTGTGTTGGGATTTGAAAAAACAGTCACCATT